CTCAATAATACCTAATCTTTTACATTTTAATTCAAGCCTTCCAGCTTAGAAACTTTACCCTTTCAATATTTCTTAGGGGAATGGAGTGAGAATGAGCTACCTAAAGATTTTAAAATTGGGTTCTTTGGAAGTTGCCATAGGATTGTAGATAAAACGCATTTAGCACAATGCCCTATACTAATAGGCATTTATTATTAAATCAACCTGGTAATGATCAAGATGCCTCCAAAGAGGCACCCACTCCCAGGAAAACTTGTTAAGGAACCTCAGAGACAGTGAATTCACAGACTGCCTTAAGGAGGACTAAGAGGAACATTGTAACTTACTTTAAAAGCATTATTGCTGAACATAGTACTGTTACTGAGAATGAAATTTTCTTGGAACATAGTCATTTCCATTAATTTACAGATTGTCTATAACTATTTCATGATACAATGTTAGAGTTAAGTAGTTGCAATAGATACTGTATGGCCTGCCAAGCTTAAAATATTTACTACTTAGCCTTAAAAAAAAGAGGGGAGTGGGGTCTGCTAATTCCTGCACAGAGAATTAGATAATGAGTGATTATAGACCTAAGAAAACAAAACTAGAGACATAAATAGTATCATTGCAGAATTAATAAATTAGACAGCAAGGAATAAAAGAGGTATAGTTAGAGACTAAATTGACCTAGAAGAAACACTAAAATAATCAATGGTGAATGCACCTAGGAGAGTAAAAAAATTCCACAGATTAAAGCAATCAGAGAGAAAATAGAAAATATTCACAAATTCTGATCCTTCAATCCTGCAGATTCTTATAACATATAAGATGAAGATGATCCCAAATAAAGATATTTTGTTTCTGAAGTAGAAAACTCAAACCTATAGCACAGAAAGAGTTAAGTTTTTGAAGATATAATGAAAAAATTTTCCCCAAATGCATAAAGAATTGAATTTTATACCATATTGTTGTAGTTGTTTTTGGTTTTGAGGGGTACCAGGGATTGAACTCAAGGGCACTCAACCATTGAGTCACATCCCCAGCTCTACTTTGTATTTTATTTAGAAACAGTGTCTTGCTTAGTGCCTCCTCGCCTTTGCTGAGGCTGGCTTTGAACTTGCAATCAATCCTTCTGCCTTGCCTCCTGGGATTACAGGTGTGTGCCACCGCACTCAGCAAATTTGCTACCTTGAACACACTGTGTTCCAGGAAATTTTGATCCAGATCAACCATAGTGAACTATATGCAATCAACAGTGAACTATATTCCAATTAAGTTTCAAGAACCAGAAGAGAGTTGGACATGGTGGTACATTCCTGTAATCCCAGCTACTTCAGAAGCTGAGACAAGAGGATTGCAAGTTTGAGTTTAGCCTGGGCAATTTATTAAGACCCTATCTCAGGGCTGGACATGTGACTCAAGCGCTGGCGCCCTCGCCTGGCATGCGTGCGGCCCGGGTTTGATCCTCAGCACCTCATACAAACAAAGATGTTGCGTCCGCTGAAAACTAAAAAATAAATATTAAAATTCTCTCTCTGTCTCTCTCTCTGTCTCTCTCTCTTTAAAAAAAAAATACCCTATCTCAAAATTTAAATAAGAAATTATGAAGATTGGAGATATAGCTCAGTGGTAGAGCATCCCTGGGTTAGGATTAGGGTTAGCACCAAAAAAAAAAAAATTAGAATAGGGGTATAGAGGTGCATTATTTAACGAATGCGTGCTGCGTGTTGTGTCTCACATCTGCAATCCCAGCTATTTAGGAGCCTGAGGCAGGAGATTCAGAAGTTCCAGGTCAGCCTTGGCAACATAGCAAAGTCTTGTCTCCAAAAACCAAAGTCTTGTCTCCAAAAACCAAAATAGCACACACATTCCCAGATCTAAGCCTTATCATCCAGAGAAGGCATTGCTTTTTTAAAAAAAAATATTTATTTAGTTGTAGATGAACACACAATATCTTTATTTACCTTTATGTGGTGCTGAGGATGGAACCCAGTGCCTCACACATGCGAAGCAAGCGCTTTACCACTGAGCCCCAGCCCCAGCCCAAGGCATTGCTTTTTAATGGATATATTCATTTGGGAATCTAAATTATATATGAGAAGGTTGCCTGGTGAGCAGAGAATTAGAGAAAAGAAAATGAGTCTTAGGAAATTTCATTGGAACTTCATTGACAGAATTTGTCCTTCACTGAAATAATTATTCTTAATAAAGAAGTGTTTTCTCAGTTTAAAAATCAAGACTCCATCTTCCCATCCTAAATATTTATCAGAAGGTACAGATCTCCGTGGTTATGATTGATATTGCTTACACTGGAGGGGTTTTCCAGATCCCAAATGCAAAAGGTTTATTTCTGGCAAGACTGTCTTCAATCCCAAACATAAATGTAATATGCATGGTGGTTGCAGTGTCAAAAGTTTACCTCTCACCCTTATCTCTAAATCTTAGGTTAATCTTACTTGGGGGTGATTTGTGTCTTCTGTGCACTAAATACATACTGGTTTTTCTAAAAACTTCTTGAGGAAACAAAATATTAAATGTGATCTAAGGAAGTAGAGCCTGTGGGGTTTTTTTTTTTTTAAGATTTAATGAAAAACATAAGTTATTTGATTCCAAGGCTGAAAAGGTGATTAACTATTGTCAGCACATCTCATTTATTAAAAAGAAATAAACATTCCATAAACATTCTACTCCTTTCTTGAACTGACTTGAGTGAACTCTTTCATGGGGCAGATGGAGGGGTGAGGGAGACATGGTTATCCATGTACATAATCCTGGTCTCCACTTACCAGTATAAATGCTCCAAGATGTGTCAATGTCAGAACTTGCAAACTCAACTCAATATTAAGAAATATTTTTGCCTGTGGAAGTGTTACCTTGCCCTAAATTTTAAGGAATTAAATCATGACTTTATCAACTGAACTTAAGGTTTTAAAAATTATTATGCCATGAAGTTTTGTATGGGAGTTTTGAATCCTAGTAGGTTAGAATCTTAGTTCTTCCACTTTCTAGCTAGAGACATGGTATAAAACAAAGACACTCAATTTATTCCATTTATAAAACAGGAATAATATCATCTTATTTTTTAAGGTCTTCATAAGGTTAATAAATAATACTAAATGTCAAGAGGACATGGTAGTTCAATAAATGAAATCCACCTGACAGTCAAAGAAGTGCTCGTTCAAGAGAGGTCACCAAATTTTTATTGAGAATACCTTTTAAGTATAGGTAGTATTTAAATCATTCTCAATCAAAATTTATATGATTTTGAAAATTCACATATTCTCATATGATCCCAATCAAAATATAAACAAATCCATTTAAATTAGTTATCCTCCTAGGAACTAATCCATTGTAATAATGCAGACACACACATACATATTAATAGTGTATTTGTGTAAATTAATATAAAACATGCAAGGACACGGACTCTCCTCCTCTTTCCGTCTTCTTTTGTCTTCCAGGAAGACTTTCTGCAGCACAGTTCATTGCACAGACAGGTACTCAAATAATGTTGAGTCAATTAAATCTAAAGGAAAAAATCAATGTGCATAAAATTCAGGGAATATAATTTCTCTAATGCGTATATTCCCTTAATTTAAATGGCTCTTTGTGATGTTAACAAAATACAAACCATTCCACGTATAACATAAAATATTTATTTCCTATTTACATTTCCATTTTTATGTAAATCATTGCACATCATATCACATATCAAAAAAAAAAAGCAACTATAAACCTTAAAAAGCAGTGAAGAAAGCATCACACCGTATGGTATTTATCAGCAGTCTCGTAACTCTCGCTTCTTGCCTTTTTTTGATTTTTTACTTGTTTCCTGACGAATGGTATTAAACTCCAAAAGAGCCATTTTGGAAAGTCTTTGTAAGTACTGAACTGGTGCTCCAGTAACAGGGTCACTGAAATTAGAATCTGTGAGGGAGAAAATCAGCTTTTCAAATTAAATTAAGTTTGCACGCATAATCAGTTTACAAAAAATTGCGAGTAAAATAGTGATTTCACAGTGACCATAAAACACTATTAGATCTTCATATAATATATACTTTGAGTTAGAAATGCCAATGCCTTACTTCCCACAATATCTGTGACTATGATGGTAAGTCACATAAAAAATATTTAATTAAAAAATAATGCTTTTGCTTGGGCATGGTGGCACATGCCTGTAATCCCAGAGACTTGGGAGGCTAAGGAAGGAGGGTTGCAAATTTGAGGCCAGCTTCAGCAACTTATTGAAGACCTTGTCTCAAAAGAAAAAAATAAAAGGGGCTTAGGATGCAGCTCAGCAGTAGCATGCCTCTGGGTTCAATCCCTATATTTTTGCAAAATAATATTTCTATTTAATTATCTAAAACTATTTCTAAGTCTGTATCATGCTTCTTTTGGGAGAGCACAGTTACCAGGGCTTGAACTCAGGAGCACTCGACCACTGAACCATATTCCAGCTCTATTTTGTATTTTACTTAGTGACAGGGTCTCACTGAGTAGCTTAGCGCCTTGCTTTTACTGAGGTTGGCTTTGAACTTGTGATCCTCCTGCCTCAACCTCACAAGCTGCTGGGATTACAGGTGTGCACTCCCAAGCCTGGATTGTATCATGCTTCTTAAAACACAGGATGGCTGTGGAATTTATTCCAAAGTAAAAACACAATCTCCATAAAGAAATACCTGTTTCATATCTTACACACTCATCAAGTTATATTCTCCAAATAAAATAGTTTCTCATAAATGCTAAGTGAAGTAATATAGCAAAATTATATAGTTAAATAAATCATTCATGTAGGTGAAAAATACTAATCAAGCATCTATTATGGAGTAGTAGTAATAATAATGGCACTTATTGAATTATCTATGTCAAGTTTACAACTATTTTATCAATACAACAACACAATAAAGTAGTAGTAAGTAGTATTATCCCAGATTCCAGATCTTTAAGAAGTGATTTAGGGAGGCCACCCAACTTGTCCAAGGGCACATATCTAGGGACTCCATCAGCAGGGTTTCATCACAGAATCATTAAACTCAAAGATCCCACATAGTCACTATATATTGCCTTAAATACGTAAATATGTAGAAATACTTCTATTGAGAAACAGATTGGTCTTTGAAAATAATATACTGACCCATATTCATTTAGGTATTGGGAATTAAACCCAGAGGCACTTTATCCCAAAGCTACATCCCCAACCCTTTTTACTTTTTATTTACTTTTTCTTCTTTCTTTTTTCTTTCCATTTCTTTTCTTTTGTATCAAGATTGAACATAGGGGCACTTTATTACTGAATTATAGTCCCAGTCCCTTTTATCTTTTATTTGAGAACCTGCCTCAGCCTCCCAATTAATAAGATTACAGGCATGCACCACTGTGCCCAGCTTTATTTTTGAGACAGGGTCTTGCTGAGTTGCTTAGGGTCTCTGTTGTAATTCTCTGTGTGAGCCTCCTGAGTCACTGGGATTATTGATTGCCATGTTTATTTAAAATACCATTATGTAACTTCACCTTGAATAGTTTCAAGTGTAAAAAGAGATTTTCAGTTCTCCAATGCAATTGTTATTGCTTGTTTGTTTTGCTTCAAACAAATGGGAAGCTGAGAGTGAGAGAGAGATAAACCTTAAGAATACAATCAGGGTTGGGTGGGATGGGACACACCTGTAATCCCACAACTCAGGAGGCTGAGGAAGGAGGATTGCAAATTCCTGGCCAGCCTTGGCAATTTCACGAAAGTCTCAGCAACTTAGTGAGACACCCTCTCAAAATAAAATATAAGAACTTAAAAAACTTAATGCCCCCCCCCAAAAAAACCAAATAACCCAATCAACAAATGGGCTAAGGAACTGAACACTTTACAGAAGAAGAACTATTATTGATCAGCAAATATATTAAAAAAATGTTCAACATCTCTAGCAACTAGAAAAATGCAAATTAAAACCACAGTGAGATTTCATCTCACTCCAGTCAGAATGGCAATTATCAAGAATACAAGTAACAATAAATGTTGTCGAGGACATGGAGGAAAAGGCACACTCACATATTGCTGGTGGCACTACAAATTGGTGTGACCACTATGGAAAGCAGTATGGAGATACCTCAGAAAACTTGGAATAGAACCACCATTTGACCCAGCTATCCCACTCCTTAGTTTATACCCAAAGGACTTAAAATCAATATACTACAGTGTTTATAGCAGCTCAATTTACAATAGCTAAACTATGGAACCAATGTAGATGCCCTTCAACAAATGAATGGATAAAGAAAATGTAGTTCATATACATTAGAATATTACTCAGCCATAAAGAAGAATAAAATGATGGCATTTGCCTGTAAAGGGATGGAGCTGGAGGATATTATGCCAAGTGAAATAAACCAATTAAATCAAAGGCCAAATGTTTTCTTTTTTATATAGATGCTAATTCACAACGGGAGTGGGTTTAGAGAAGAATAGAAGTACTTTGGATTAGACCAAGGGGAATGAAGGGAGAGGAGGGGGAATGGGAATAGGAAAGATAATAGAAATAATCAGACAATATCCTATGTACGTATATGTTTACACAACCAATGTAATCCTATATTATGTATAATCAAAACAATGAGAAGTTATACTCCATATATGTAGAATACATCAAAATATATTCTCCTATTATGCAAAACTAATTAGAACAAAATTTAAAAGTTCATATTCATATAAAAATAAAATAAAATATAAAAAGGGCTGAGATGTAGCTCAGTGATTGAGTGCCCCTGGGTTCAATCCCTGGTAACACACACACACACACACACAGAAAAAAAAACAAACAAAAAACTCTCTCTCTATACACACACACACACACACACACACACACACATATATAAATTGAAGGTTGAAAATTAATAAGCCTAAGATATACATTAGAAAAAGAATAAAATAAGCCCAAAGAATAAACCCAAACAGCATAGAAGAAAAAAATATAATATAGGAAAGAGGGAAAAATCAGTGAAATAGAAACCAAAGTTAGAATTTAAAATGACAAAAGTTTTCATTGAAAAGTAGAATGAAAAAAAAATGCTTCTGGCAAAAGTAATTAAGGGGAAAAAGGAAAGAAGGTACAAATACCTAATATTAGGAAAAGAGGGACAGAAATACAGTTAGAGCAAAGACTAACTTTTGGGTCAATAAATTTAAAAACTGAGATAAAGGCAGAAGTTTCTTGAAAATATAACTTACCAAAACTGATTGAAAGAATAGAATGCATTGAGTCCTAAAATTAAAATTACTGAATAAATATTAAATGATTCCCACAAAGAAAACAAGTAACCCAAATAATTTTACAAATGAATCTATCAGAGTTTCAACATAGAGATCATTTCGAGTTTAGGTCAAATCCTTCAGAGAACAGAAAGAGAGAGAATACTTTCCAGTTCATTCCATGAAGCCATTATCATCTTGACATTGAATTCAGATAAGGACAGGACCAAAAGGAAAATGAGTGGCAGTCTCATTCTTAAAAAGGGTTTTTTTATTCCATTTTAATGTTGAGTAATATTCCATTGTGTTTATAAACCACAGTTCCTTTATCCATTCATCTATTGAAGGACATCTAGGTTGCTTTCACAGCTTATGAATTGTGAATTGAGCTGCTATAAACATTGATGTGGCTGCATTACTATAGTATGCTGATTTTTAAGTCCTTGGGGTACAGACCGAGGAGTGGGATAGCTGGGTCAAATGGTGGTTCCATTATGGCATTTGCAGGTAAATGGATGGAGCTGGAGAATATCATTCTAAGTAAAGTAAGCCAATCCCCCTAAACCAAAAGCCGAATATTCTCTCTGATAAGTAGATGCTGACGCATAATGGGGGGGGGGACATTAGGAAAATGGAGGAACTTTGATGGGGCAAAGGGAAGAGTGGGGTGGGGAGGGGAAATGGGGGTAGGAAAGATGGTGGATGAGATGGACATCATTACTCTAGGTACATGTATGACTACACATATGGTGCGACATTATATTGTGTATAACCAAGAAATGTAAAATTGTGCTGCAGTTGTTTTACAATGAATCAAAAGGCATTCTGCTGTCATATATACCTAATTAAAATAAATAAATAATTCTATTTTTTTT